TTGTTTCTCAAACCAAAAGTCTTAACTATGATTCACAAAGTTCCTTAGTGTCACATTATTTCAGTTCAAACATTTAATTGGATGTTTTATCATTTCTGGTGTAGTGTTTTATTAATCAGGCACAACACATGAATTAACATGATATGATGTAATTGTGTCAGATTTTGCAGGTTGATATTAAAACAGTAATCATAACCCTGACTTAGCGTCTCACCATCTTTATTCACAATGGTACAATTTGGACTCTAAAATTTTAATTCTGACTTTCATCATTTTAATTGTTTCTGCCAGTAATGAGCCTCCTTAAAACCAAAAGTGGGTTGACAGGTGTCACCTGAACAGGTGACAACTGCAGGTTTCATGACAAGCAACTCATAAAGTGCATGTACCTCCACAAAGGCACAACATTCACTCGCGCAAATGGGTCCCTTGTGAAAAATGAGATCCAGAACAACACAAAATGTGTCCCAAAATTCTTGATCTGGATCAGATCCTGATAATCTTTTATGGTACAAGTTATACTGTGCATCGTACCTCAACATGTCAGGGTTCTGTCTTCATTTTAGGCCAAGTTAAAGACTGTTTTAAATCCACGACCGTGGTGTAAGGCTGAATGTTTGTCCTTTCTGGGCTCATCATCATATCAACTGGTGGCCAACTTCAGAGCAGAAGGGAAGACTAATGTCCAGTAATGTAGAGAGTTAGATGTGACTACAGAAAAAATTATTTGAACCCCAGCTGATTTTGTAAGTTTGCCCACTAACAAAGAAATGATCAGTCTATAATGTCAATGGTAGGTTTATGTGAACAGTGAGAGACACAACAGTAACAAAAAATCCAGAAAAATGCATTACAAAAAAAGTTATACATTAATTTGCATTTTCACGAATGAAATAAGTATTTGATCCCCTATCAGTCAGCAAGATCTCTGGCTCCCAGGTGTATTTTATACAGGTAACGAGCTGACATTGGGAGCTCTCTCAGCTCGTTACCTGTATAAAAGTGACCTGTCCGCAGAAGCAATCAATCAATTCAAATTCCAAATTTCTTTGTTAGTGGGCAAACTTACAAAATCAGCTGGGGATCAAATAATTTTTTTCCCTGACTCTATACTACAGCATATTACAGAGGAAGTTACTGGATATTTAAACAATAGTCTGATCACATTACTAATGTTTATGTTACAGATGTATGTTTTAAATCTACGTTTGTGAATCTCACTATGTCTGTTTCTGTTTGCTCTCAGATCCAGTGCAGGCCCTTTGTTGGTGATCACCCACAAAAGGCATCCAGAAGGAGGCCTGGGGGTCGCTCAGGAACTTTCCCCCAACCAGAAAGTCAAACAAATGACTCACATGAAGCCAAGATTACAAAGATTAATGTGTTTAGTTGGGGTTTTTTCGCCTGAGTCTGCCGGATAAGTGTCTTGATGTAAAGACCTGTGTTAAGCTGTCAGAAAGTGTTTGCACTGAAGCTGTTTGTTTTACAGTACAGACATGTGTATAACTGAAACTGTGTTGTTATGTGTGGAGGAAGGGGGATCACCTTGTCAGTTATTTTCTTTCTAGGACTCTGTTTTATTTTCAGTGTGTTCTAAGCAAAATTAAAAAGTTTTGCCATGTTAAAGCAGTACTTATTGTGCTTACGAGCATGTTTTTTTAGAGTATAGGGAGTTGGTTTAGTGTAGAATTGCTCTGTTAAGGTCAAAAGTTTATCTCTGTAATAACAGTTGATCTCTATTTCACTTTTGAATGTGGTAGGAGGATAATGTTTAATTAGTAATTAGTAGTGATAATTTGGCATACTGATTAGTATTAGGAAGTGATGTATTCAGATAACTGTTTACGAATGTTCTTTTCAGTTTTCTGTACATGTTTGTTCTACAGTGTTTAGGAGTTTCGTAGTCTAAATACGGGAGGAGGGGATTCTGTAGTGGTTACAACAAACAGTATATGTCTAGTAGTTAATTCTGTGTTAACATATTCTTGATCAACATGTGTTATGGGATATTATATATATGTCTCTTAGAATAGATATTAGAATAGACTTCTAGTGTTAGTATAGCAAAATGCTTGTGTAACCAGGAAAGGTCAGCGACCTTCTGTTTTCTCTGCACTGCTCGGGGGGAAGTTGGACCGTCAGGAGTTTTCCCCAA